TTCTTAAGTATAGGTTCAATTCCTGTAATTCTAGAAATAAGAGGGCTTAAACCTCTATTATTTACTCTATCAAAGTAATTCTTTTGTCAGACATATTTCTTGTTTTATAGGTGGGGTGGGATATTAGGATAGGTATTGAGATGTATCATATACAAAAGGCTAGTGTGAGTGGAAGGAAGTTTTTTCATAAAAGGTGTATTAATTGGTTGTATCGGAATCGTGGATATGAGGCTCGGATTCATAGAAAAAGTGAGGTGAGAATAAGTGTTTTTACTATGAAGTTGATTGTGAATATTTCAGGTATAAAGATATTATTAGTGCGCCTAGAAAGATGATGGTGGTTAGGGCATTTATTATAATAATGTTAGTGTATTCTGCTATGAAGAATAGGGCAAACGGTCCTGCAGCATATTCAACATTAAATCCTGTGACTAATTCTGACTCTCCTTCTGTGAGATCGAAGGGTGCTCGGTTTGTTTCAGCTAATGTTGAGATAAATCATATTATTGCTAGTGGTCAGGAGGGAGCAAATAGTCAGGAGTATTCTTGAGTTATAATTAGTGTTGCTAGTGTAAAGGATCCATTTATTAGGAGAATTGCTAGGAGGATAATTGCAAGGGTTACTTCATAGGAGATTGCCTGGGCTACTGCCCGAAGTGTACCAATTAGTGCGTATTTGGAGTTTGATGCTCAGCCTGATCAGAGAATTGAGTATACGGTTAGGCTGGATGTTGCTAGAATGAATAGGACGCTTAGGTTTATGTTGAGAAGGGGGTGCGGTATGGGTATGGGAATTCATATAATGAGAGCCAGAGATAGGGCAAGGGTTGGTGCAATGATATAAAGTAGGGATGTTGATGTAAGTGGATGGAGAGGTTCTTTAATAAATAATTTTATGGCGTCTGCAAAGGGTTGGAGGAGACCATAGGGTCCAATAATGTCGGAATTGTATATATCCTAGTACTTTGCGTTCTGCTAATGTTAGGAAGGCTATAGCTAGAAGAACTGGAATAATTAGGATTAATAGATTAATTATAAACATGTTGTTAAGAAGAGGAGTTGAACCTCTGATAATAAAGTTTTAAGTTTTATGCAATTACCGGGCTCTGCCATCTTAACGAACCCTATTCTTGAGTAGGGTTATTT